ATTCCAATCAGATCGGGCAGGGGAAGGGGTAAAAACCTTAGCAATCAACAAAAGAAACGCGAAAATACCTTAACCTGAGGCACGTCTTCTATATGGTGATGGTATTGCACCGGGCGTGCGGGCCATTCGCAGAGTAGATCTTTACACTATTATCAAATTTAAAACGTTTACAACCTGAGCTGAAACGTTTTGTTAATATACTTGAATAAATGGCGTATTTGTGGCTTAAATATGTTAAGCCGGCAAAACAGCATCAGTTACAGTTACCTTATTGAGCAAGACCTCAATAACTGTCCGTTTTATCTCTCTCTGGCGATGGTGACTATGTTAAAATATTATTTAAGGACGTATATGACAAAAAATACCTGACGTCAGCTGATTATTGCATCAGATGTATTTTAACGTATTAGAGTAATCATCAATGTATTTACTAAAAACAATACAAAATACATAATTCTAAACCAGACATTGCTAAATAAGGCTTGTGAAGTTTATGTCACAAATCTTTCTTATTCCTTATATCTTAAATCTGAAATTAAAACAAATATATTTTAATAGAGAAAGGAAGAAATAAATGCATAAGTGTTTGTTATTAGTTCTTGAACTAGAATTGGTTAACAAGCATGGCCACCGTAATTCTTCACCGACAAATTATGTTTAAAACAATCAGCATAATACTCGCTTCGGCAAGCCTCCACGACACAAATTCTTCCCATTTAAACTAAAATTCTTCAAAATTATTACAAAATTAAAAAGACTCCGCTATTAATGTTCGAGTCGGGATGTCATGTCGGGTTGCCAGTTCAGGTGTCCGAATTTCAAACAAATAAAAGAAAACATGATGTATGGAAGAGAAGCACATACTGTGCCGACCTTCCATTAAGGATAAGGGCCCTTTTCTTAAGAGGAAGGAATGGGTTCGGTGGCTTCGGTGGATCCAAGTGGCCACTTGCTCGTTTGCCACCTTATGTTATAAAAAAAAGATATTGCTTTAACATGTCGATAATAAATAATTATTAATTTTTAAAAACATTTTAAAAGTAAATATTTTTACTGCATTATATTACATCACTTGCCTTTTTTTCTACAAACAACGAAACGATTGATATCTGGCAACTCTAGGTCATAGTTAGAAAGGGTAATATCGGACACTTGTAGCCCTCTCACTCCTTTCAATTTCATTTTGCGTGCACCAAGACTCTTACTTTCTTTATTTTAACTGCAAGATGTATAGTAAAACACACTCCTGTTGTAAGTAGTACTTATTATCTTCACGGTGGTATGTCAATGCCTCCATTTGAACACGAGAGTGTGAACACGCTCATGTTCAAATGTAACTTTACGAGCCAGATATAAGAATGCTTTCAATTCAATTATTTCTTTAATTCATAAAAAAATGTTACAGTGAATGAATTTCGTGCAATGTTGGATGTAAGCGGGGTGATATCAAAACGTTCCAATGAGTATTGAGCTCGGCAACTATTGTACAAGTTTATAAGTCCGAGAGGGCATCAAAGTCGTCAAGATTTATTCATCAAATAATTCAGCTCGTGATCTATGAAATATGCACAAAATGAGTTTCTTATCATATTTGTTTAAAAACGTATAAAACATGCAAACGGCCAAACTTTCGGCATCAACAGAACTATCCAATAAACTTATCCCTCATCGTTGTCCTTTGCAGCTTTCTTTGACTTTCGTCGGTGAGGGTTTTTATATTTAATTTTACTTTTGTTTTCACCTCCAATGATGGCGGTGTGCGCGTCCTCCCCCGCCTGCGCCCCGCGCGTCAACTCGTTCTCCTCCTCCTTATCCCTGCTCTCCTCCTTTGGGGGTTCATTGTAATCTTTTACGTTTTCTTCTCTTCTAGTTTGTAACCAGTCGTTAGCTTGGTTTTTGCTGATTTTTTTTTCATATATGACATACCCGTCATCAGTAACGTACTGAAGAATGGGATGTAGTAACGCCTTTTTGTTCCTATGTGTCCTGCGCTCACCGGTGCCGCCTTGCGCCCGGCCGCCAGCTCGGCCGCCGCTGCG